TCAGGGGGCGGCGGGGCCCCGCGTGTCTGCGGTGACAGCATCAGTGGGGGCAGAGGCGTGGCTGTGAGTGGTACAGGCCACAAGTGTGTCCTAGGGGACGCACCCCTGGCCCCGGTGTGTGAGGGGCACGGGTACGTGTGGGTGCGGCGTGTCTCCTGGCACAGGTGTGTGAAGGCATGCCCGTGTGCGGTCTGGCACAGGCGCTGTTTGCGGCCGCGTTACCTGATCTCATTAATCGGCTGGTTGCGGACCACGTTTCTCCACTGGGCCCACGTCTTCTTCAGGTCTTCCTCCCCCTGGTCACAGTGACAGGCTGAGCTCCTCAGCCTTGGGGTCCCGCCCCAGACCCTCCTCCCCTGCAGGCCCAGCCCTCACCTTGTGCAATGGGAACTTGGTCTTAAAGACCCCATCCTTCACCAAATCCTCGAATGACTCTGGGGGTAACAAGGAGTCACAAGTCAGAGAGGCATGAAGGCCAAGGAAGGGCCCTGCCCAGTACACCCATGTCGGTGCCCTCCCAGCCACCTGCCTGTCCTGTCCTCCTTACCACCAGCTGCCGGCTTGCAGTTTAGGATGAAGTTCACGATTCGGATTCTGAAACCCCAGAGCTGGGTCAGGGTGGCCTTGCATGACCTTGGTGGACCCAGCCCTCCCAGTCCTGAGCCGCCTTCAGGTCTGGCCAGGCCCAGGCCCCTTCCCGTTCCTTCCCCTTCCAGGGCAGAGACCCTGGCACCAATCAGAGCCTCATCTGGGAGCCACCCCCACCCCCCTTACTGCCCCGGGTCTGGCCTGACCCACAGCCGCCAGGACAGGGCTCTGCCAACTGGTTCCTCTCCTCCCAGCACCCGGCATTCAGCCCCACACACCCCTGCTGATGTCTAGACCCCCTTCCCACTCACACCTGCCAAGCGCCCAGACCCGTCTCCACTCACACCTCCCACCTGTGAGCTCCATGTGCCCAGGCACACCCTGGGCCTACACAACCCCTCTATAGCCCTGAGCTCTTTGCCAGCAGAGACAGACTGAGACTCCAAGAGGTGGAATAGCTAGCCCCAGGCCACACAGCCCAGAAGCAGCAGAGCCAGTGCAGGACTGCAGAGCCATACTCCAGAATCTCCTCCTCCAAATGCCCATGAGGCATGGCCCCGAGCACCCTGGCACCCATGGACACAGTCCCCCAGACCTGCTCCTACCAGCTCCCGCGTGAGGCTCATCTGACTCCCTCTTGCTCTACCCGACACTGGTTGGTTCTGTGCTCACAGGATGTCCCTCTCCTCCAGTAACTAACTGCCAGGGATACCCTTTGCTGGGCTCCTCTGACCGCACCCCAGCTAGGAAGGGCTGGGAGGGTGGGGCAGGGACAGACAGGGATGAGAGTGAGTAGGTGGCCTTGTGGGTGGGGGCGTGGCAGGTGCTTAGGGAGAGGGGAGGCACTCCCTGCTGGGTCTTTGGTCCAGGTGTCTGGGAGACTGGGGACAGAAGTCCAGGAAGAAGCACTCAATCCTGAGAAGGGGGGCCTGTGAGAGACGATGGCCTCAGGGTCCAGGAGGGCCAGGTAGGGCGTGGCTTCTGAGCCTCCCCAAGTCCCGCCCACCCTCTTAGGCTGGCTCGACTCTGCGTCCTGGAGCAGTCAGACATCATCTTCAAAACACTCTGAGAGGCAAGAGCTGTCGTCATCCCTTCTCACAGGCATGGAGACAGGCACGGTGCCCACGTGCTGGCCTGGCCTGCCTCGGGCTGTGCATGGACCAGGCACACAGGCGGGCAAGGGTCCTCCTGGCCCCGGCTCTGGGCATGGCCACTCACCTTGTGTTGGCCGGGACTTGGGGCGGGCCAGTCAGAGGCGCAGCACTGGGGGCAGCAACCTCGGGCTCCAGCAGGAGGGTGCGGTACAGGTCAAAGATCCTGCCGTCGGCGCGCAGCCCGAAGAACACCTGTTTCTGGTCCTCTAGCACCTGCAGGCAGGGGCCACGTGGGACCCTCTGTCCTACTGTGGAATGACCCCCCCATCCCCCGTCCACACCCACAGCCTGTCCCCTACGCCTTGGACACAAGGCCACGGCCCCTCCCCAGGCCCACCAACCCCTGTGCCCCCTGCCCCCACAGTCACAGCCCACCTTGAGGTGGAAGCCCTTCCTCTTGAGCTCTCCCAGGAAACGCTGCTGCCTCTGCTCCCGCCTATGGTCTTGCAGGGTGTGCCGATCGGCCACGAGGACATAGTCCCACTGCTCAGAGGCCTCAGTCTGGAGGAAGAAAGTGTGGGGAGGGCCAGCACAAGGCCTGGGGAGCAGGAGGGGGCGGGGGGCCAAGCCCAACTGGGGTCTGAGCGGAGCCTCACCTCGCAAGCGCCGATCTCCATTAGTGGGAAGCTGTCTCCCAGGCCGTGGGGGCTGTCTTCACCCTGCGGAGGGGAAGGCAGATCGAGAGATGGAGACGTCGGGCTCTCGCTGGCCAGGCCCTGCAGCAGACCGCCATCTGGGCCAGGTGCCAGGGCACTGAAGGCTTAACAAGCAGGGGTCAGGAGAGCTGGAAACCTAGAATGCAAATAGGTGGGAGCAAGAGAAGATGCTGGCCAGAGGGACAGCACTGCGGCACAAGCCAGCAAGGGCCGGAGAGCACACGGGGTGGCGGCGGGTTTTTGAAACGTGAGAAGGTGCAAGCAGGGATCTCACAGAAGAGGAGCACCAGCAAGCAACTGCTAGGCGAAGAGATGGAAGTCTCAGAAATGGGCGGGAAGATGCAAGTCAGACAGCCGGGGGCACCAACCACAAATGCTGCAGAGGCCTTCCGGCACGACAGCCTGGGGAAAGCGATTATGTGCATTAGTGCATGGCCTTGCAGAGCATGCTGCACTCTGCTCAGAACTGAATATTCTGGGACCAGCAGATGGCATAATGGTAATGTTGCTGAACTCCCATGTAGTCACCTGTGGTTCAAGTCCCGAACTAGGCAGCTTAAAACTCATGCCAGGCACATGTGTGTGCGTGCCTAAAATCCTGAGAGGAGAATGGAGGAGAAGGTATAGCATGGCCATCCTCCCATGGGGGGGGCGGGTGACTTCTCGCTTTCTGTCTCTCTGTCTCTGTCTCGTCTCTGTCTCTCCAGTGAGCACATGTATCCCATAGCAAAAGTCTCTCTAAAAACAACAACAAATTAAAACCCTGAATATTCTTAGGGACCAGCAGATCTCATAGCAGTTATGTCACTGGATTCCCACATGGTCGGCCATGGTTTGAGTTCTGCACCTGGTAGCTTGAAAATCATGCCAGGGGGTCAGCAGGTGACATGGTGGTTAAGGCGCTGGACACTCCCACATGGCCGACCACAGCTGGAGTCTCAGACCTGGTGGCTTGCTTTCTCACTCTCCTTCTCTCTGTGTATCCGTCTTTCTCTGGTCAAATGAAACTGACTGAATGAATAAATAAAAATAAATAAATAAGTTTAAAAATTAAAGAAAATCATGCCAGGCATGTGTGGATGTGTGCCCAAGATCCTGAGAGGAGAATGGAGAAGGGATTGGAGCATGCCCCCCAGGAGGTGATTTCTCACTGTCTCTGTCTCTGTCTCTGTCTCTCTGGCAAGTGCATGCACCCTACGACAAAAAAACTGTCAAAAAAGAAGACAAACTGAACACTCCTGGGGCCAGCCAGTGACAGGCAGGTTGGAGGCTGGGTCCCACATGGCCGACTGCACACTTTGAGTCTTGGACCTGCTAGCTTGAACAATATGCCAGGCATGTGTGTGTGCCCAAAATCCTGAGAAGAGAATGGGGGAGAGGGAACTGTGGTGTGGTCATTCCCCCCGGGCGGTACATTCTCATTCTCTCTCTCCATCCAGCAAATTAAAAAAAAAAAAGCAACACTCCGAGACCTTTTCGCTTAGCCCGTCCACCCTTGGAGATTAGACAAGGGAGCCCACAGTAACACCATATCATATCAAAATCGTGGAGATAATCCAAATCCCCATCAGTAGGCAGACGGGTGATGACACCATGCTGTCCTCACAAGGCAGAAGCCATGTGACAGGTATACCCCCAGCCACTGCCACACGCAGGGCTCTGGGACTCCAGACACAGGGCCCAGTTCCCAATGAGAGCCATGGGACTCACGGCTGCAGGGACACCCCTGACGGTCAGAGGGGTGCGAGTCAGTGGGCAGAGCCCCAAGGAGGAGCGAGTGCTGGCAGAGCCCCCAATTCCCCCCAGCTCGTCCATGTGGCGGCGTCAGGAATCACGGCCCTGTCCTCTCTCTGGGAGATGCGGCTTAATTCTCCCTGCTGGAGTATGGGCTGGACGGAGCACCTAGTGGAGAGAGGAGTCCCTTCACGGAGGAGACGCCTGGAAGATGCCCCCGACCCAGGCGAGGACGCCCTCAGGACGTCAGGGACCCCCATAGCATGCGATGAGACAGGACGTGGTCTTCCTCGCTACCGTCTTGCCTCGTCTCACCGTGAGGGACATCAGACAGCCCAGACAGAGGGCCCTCTTACAGAAGCCACCCCAGGCCCTCGGGAGTCCTATCACCAAGGACAAGGAGAGGCACAAGGCCTGCCACCAGTGGGTGAGGGCTGAGGGGGTGGGACCCCTAAATGCCATGTGGGTTCCTGGATGGACCTGAGAACAGGAAGAGGATGGCAGTGGTAAAGATGGTGACATCAGGGGACTGGCAGGTGGCGTGGTGGTTGAGGCGCTAGACTCCCACATGGCCAACTGTGGTTCAAGTCCTGGATCTGGTGGCTTGCTTTCTCACTTTCCCTCTCTCTCCCTCTGTGTGTGTGTCTCTCTCTCTCAGGTAAAAATTAAATAATAGTAATAAATAAAAAATAACTATTTAAAAAATAGTGATGTTAGATGCAGTTTGTGGTTGGAAGGGCTGGGCAAAGTCAGCATCTTGATAAGGACCCAGTTAACTGAGACGTCATCATTGAGGACACAGATAAAGAATATGCAGAAAAGTGCTCGCACATCTATGTTTTTTGTAAAAGAATTGTTTATTTCTCCACTTGTTGTTATTATTATTTAATTTGACCAGACAGAGACAGAGAGAGAGAGAGAGAAAAGGAAAGAGAGAAAGCAAGCTGCCAGGTCTGGGACTCGAACAGCTGTTGGCCATGTGGGAATCCAGTGCCTTTAACCATCCTGCCACCTGCTGGCCCCACATGTCTATGTTTATTGTGGCATTACTCACGATTGCTAAGACATGGAACCAACTCAGATGTCCACGAACAGATGAATGGATTGAGAAAGTGTGGCCCATGTACTCTATGGAATACTACTCAGCCATAAGAAACAAGGCCCTGGCATTTGATAGTAAGTGGACGAAGATTTGTTGCTGAGTGAAGCAAGTCAGGCTGTGAAAGAGAGACATTGCATGTCCCCACCTAACCTACATGACTGTCCGCACTCCATGGCAGAGACCGAGAGACTGGAGGACATAAAAGCAGTGAAAATTGTGATGGACACTGGAGACTGTGGAAGGAGATGAAAACTGGAGATGGTGGAAGGAGGGGGGGAGAGAGTAAGAGCGTAGGAAAGAAATCAGGGAGAAAAATAGAGAAGCAAGACATTCGTGGGACGCAGATATGGTTTATTATCTGTGGATGATAGTGTGTATAGTATTCTTTTCTCTTCTTTTAAAGAACTATTTTATTTAACTTTATTGATTTACTTTAATTTGACTGGAGAGGGACAGAGAGAGAGAGAGCCATAAGATCCAGGAATTCCACCGTTGGCCATGTGGGAGTCCAGCGCCCTTAACCACCACGCCACCAGCCAGCCCCAACATGCAGAGTATTCTCAACTGAACTGGTCTGAGGTGGATTTCATGTTGGGTAAATCCTCTCTACAAGTAAATGATGCAAACCGAGTGAATGTATAAAATAATAGTAATAAAGACAACTTCATGAAACAGTTAAAAAAAATAAAAGAGTGTGCAGGAAGCCCCAAACCACCTTCATATCATGTCTATAAATCTAAAACTAATTAAATAACAGTTTTTAAAAACATAAGCTCCAGGGACCAGCAGTTAGCGTAATGGCTATGTCATTGGACTCCCATGTAGT